TGGGGCAAGAGGATCCAAGTTCGATTTCTCAATGGCGTAGTTTTTTGCTTGTCGCGTGAATTTTGCATGGCAGCTTGTAGAGAAATGCTGGCACTAGAATTTTTTTATCTTTTGGCATGCGCGTTGCATGGCATTGTGCAGCATTTGTGCCCACGATTTTTTTCTCTTGACTGACTCCGGCGCGACCTCCTCCGATGTGAGTCCGGCGCCACATCCATGGCACGAGCGAGCGACGAAGGGAAGGACAGTGCGTGAGCAAGGAAGCGAGCGAGGAAGGAGAGGCGAGCGGGCGACGATGAAGCTTGAGCGAGGAAGGGGCCGAGGAACTGGCTTGGGGCATGGATGGGATGACAACCAAACAGCGCTTTTACTGCCGTGAATGAATAATCGAGTCACAAAATGAAGAGTCCAAGGGCAATATTGTCCAAAACTAGGTTAACAGCGCCAAGACGACTTGAATTGTGCAAACGACACCAAGGCCTAAAACGACTTGAATTCCCATTACAGAGGGAGTAATACATATTCATAAATTACGCACTATTGCCATTATAAATTGGATGCGGATAGGACGGCCTGAGCAAAGCAGGAGGGCTACACCTACTGTTGATGATCAACTTATCCTATTATTTCATAGCTCTCAAAACTGGGAAACACAAACATTGCAAAAATGTATTCCTGAAATAACTTACAAAGGAATAAAGAATATACAAAGTACATATCAAAATTACATCATCTCTTCTTGTAACAAACGAAGATAAAGATCAACTCAAAGCACAATTACGTATGAGAAACACATCTTTTTAAAGGAAAGGTAACTGTGTTTTTTTTTCCTTCATGCATGTGGTAATACTATTACTGAATAGATTATTTGCAATAGCAGGAATCCTAACCATGCTGCTATTCACCTCCGATGCTAAAAAGAAGAATAGAAATAGACTAAATATTTTAGCCTTTCACAACATCCTGTAACATATTCAATTTTGAATTTAACCACCTAGGACTGAGTCTAGCACCTTAATGTTGCAATGAAATAATAGAATCTATGGAAATTTAAAAAAGTATAGTATAATATCATGAAAATAAAGAAGTAAGAACTGCATACAGGGCCACATGGTAGCACATGGGTAGGGCATAAATAGACCAAAGAAATCAAGCAGGAATGCACAGAAAGAGCAACGTAATCACATATTGCATAGGACAATGTGCCTTTAATGTTCTTGGTTCAATGCTCTCTTGCATTAGCACAGAAAGAGTATCCTAGTTCCTAAATTCCTAAGAATACAACTGGTTGGAAAGTTGATGTTCTCTGTTCAATGCTCTCTTGACTAAGACAAAGGTTTCTAGAATCATTCCTAAATTCCTAAGAATACAACAGGTTCGAAAGTTGATGTTGTTTGTTCAATGCTCTCTTGACTAAGACAAAGGTTTCTAGAATCATTCTTAGATGCAATGTGGAACCTAAAATGTCCCTCGCTCCTTGCCCATCTCCTCAGATCGGCTTCCCGTATAGGCAGAGAACCCAAGCCCGGTGTCAGGCGCGCGCGGACGAGGTGGCCTTGTCCATCCGTATCACCAAGGGCCGCACAACATCTTCGATAAGGTCAATAAGCTCACCAAGCCATGCGTCCTCACGGTCAGCCCGGTGTCGCTGTGTGAGAGGATACTGAAGGAAGATGTTATGCTTGGCATTTGACTTTGTTGCTCTATACCTATCTCTATTTCAAGATGCTGCTTTCTCCTTTTAAACATATGATTAATCTTTGGCAATTTTTGCTGTGGGACATCGTGAAAACAATAAATTGGCTGCAACACACCGCCAACACTTGCTTTTGCTGAGTACCATTATGAAATCGTGAATGTTTGCCAGTGGACACCGCCTCCATTAAAATAAGAAAAACAGCAATCGGGAGAGAGAAACATTCCAAAATGACCAGCGTTGCCCCTTGGTCTAACCAGACCCTGTTGGTCGAGCCGGACCACTACTTGGTCGAACCAGACCCTATGCTCTATCCAATCCTAGCCAGCGGCGTCTCTAGTCTCCTGCAGCACCGGCGTCTCTAGTCTCCCGTAGCTCCACCGACTCCAGCCACCCACGCCGCCATTTCCAGTCTCCCGTAGCGCCATCATCTCTAGCCAACCACGCCGTCGTCTCCTACCGCCCACACCGCCATGTCTTCCCCACAGTCGGCGTGCCATGGATGCATGAAGATGGCTTCGCCGGCGAAATCGAAGCGGCTCCGCCCGAGCATAGATTCATCATCCAAGGGAGTGAATCTATCATGGGTTTCTGAGGGGTATGCACTCTTATCCTCTTCCACTTTTCGATATGGGGTTGGTTAACAGGGTTGCAATGAACTTGGGGGTCAATTTGTGCATCCAAAGCTAGGGTTTTCATGATTTCTTGTTCTTGTCCATGTTTTAGGATGGACAGTAGTTCTGCATTACGCATATCAGTGCGTGTCCCATGTTACTATGAGGCTTGCGATGACGGTAGAAATGTGGCTCACAATGCAGCAAATTTTCAGCTCATTGTTGATAGGGACACTCTGAATCTGATTGATTTAAGTAAGGATGTAGCTGCCAAAGTGTCTATTGGGAAGAATCAAGGCTTCAATTTGACATATTTCGACAAGAACACCCAATGCTATACCAATTTGACCTCAGATGCAGCTTTGATGGATGCTACTAACAATTATTGGCACCTAAGGCGGCTACCTTTGTTTGTGAATTTTTATGACATGATTCCTATTGCATATAGTCAGAGTGTGTCTTTGGATAATGAGGCCAGTGCATCTGTTGCTCTCCCATTGCTGCCCCCTCTGCTTGGTCATGATGATGGGCAGAACAATCAGATTGTTGAAACTGTTGGGCCTGGTGGAGGTGAGGCCGATGTGGAGTCACTTAGTGGGGGAGAAAGTGATGATGACAATGTTCACTCTTCTAACTCTGATGACTCAGCTGAGAAATCCACACCTGCTCAAGGAAGAAGCAAGAAGAAGCATGTTGATGATGATGTTTCATGGGAAGAAGATATTGAGGAGTATGTTGGGGTCAATGATGAGGGCCATTATATGCCAAAATAGCAAGATCAACAAGCATCAGAGGGGGATACTGACTCTGACTCTCTTGTTCATGATGATTTGTATGTTGATGATGATGCTGGTTGTGAGATCAATGAGCATGTTACTAACTTAGAAAACCCAACTATAGAATGTGGTGTCACATTTGAGGATGGGGACACCTTTAAGAGGGCTATTAGACAATATGCTATGCTAAAAGAGTTTGAAATTGCAGCTCCTTACAGTGAATCCAAAAGGTATAGAGGGCACTGCAAAGGATTCAAGAGCAAGAAGAAGAGGTGCAAGTGGAGGATACATGCTTCTCAATTGCAAGATGGCAAGACTTGGCAGGTCAGTTTATTTCTTTTTCAAATTTCCTTACATTTTGGTTCTTATTTTTCCCAACATGTGTTTGATGCTTTGCCTTCCTTTTATTTGTCAGATAAAGAAGTTGGGAAAACATACTTGTGCCAGCACATCCCAACTGGAGAAGAACTGCATGGCTACCAATGCCTGGGTGAGGGACAGGGCCATTACCATCCTGAAGGATGAACCAACAATTCAAGCTGGTAAACTGAGGAAGGATTTGCAGAACAAGTACAACATCCAACTTTCATACTATGTTGTCTGGGATGGACTGCAAATGGCTCTAGAGCAAATTCAAGGAAAATGGGATGACAACTTTGAAGATGTTTTTAGATTCAAGGCTGAGGTGGACAGGACAAATCCTGGTAGCATTGTGGACATTGAGTGGATACTCGCTGGTAATAAGAGGAGGTTCACAAGCATGTTTGTTGCATTTAAGAGCTGTGTTCAAGGTTTTTTGAATGGATGCAGACCCTTCTTAGGTGTTGACTCAACAGTTTTGACTGGGAGGTGGAGAGGGCAGTTAGCTTCTGCTTCAGCTGTGGATGGACACAACTGGCTTTTTCCAGTGGCATATGGTGTCTTTGAGTCTGAAACTACTGAAAATTGGATATGGTTTTTTGAGAAACTTAAAGTGGCAATTAGGACTCCTCCAGGCCTGGTCATATGCACAGATGCAGGCAAAGGAATAGATAAGGGAGTTACATATGTGTTCCCAAATGGAGTAGAGCATAGAGAGTGCATGAGGCATCTAGTGAAGAATTTTAACAAGAGGTATAGAGAGTAGTGTTCAAGAAACATTTGTGGCTAGCAAGCAGAGCTTACAACTAGAGGCACTTTGATCACCATTACAACATCATGAAGCAAGCTTCACCAAGGGCAATGAACTAGATAGAGGACAACCACAAGCACATATGGAGTAGATGGAAGTTCTCTCATGCAAGCAAATGTGACTATGTTACTAACAACATAGCAGAGACCTTCAACAGTTGGATTAGGAATGAGAAGTCCTTGGCTTTAATTCCTCTATTGGATAGGATCTGGCAAATGATCATGGAGAAACAAGACCTTAGGAGGTCACTGTCACTTAAGCTGAGAGACAAGATCTTGCCTCATGTCACCAAAGAGTTGCATGCCATGAGTAGGAATTTATAGTATGCCATACATAGGGGGCCCAACAACGCTGCTGAGATTCAAGGCACTACAAAGGAACTAAAAACCTAGAGGCATATTGTCGACCTTGATAATAGATCATGCAGCTGTCAAAGGTGGTAGATTACTGGATTGCCATGTACTCATGCTCTCTGCTTCATCCATTCCATGCGCAACAGAAGTGTGGAAGACTACATAGATGACTATTATTCGGTTGATAAGTTCAAAAAAGCATATGAACATGTGATAAGTCCCATGACAGATAGGAACCAATGGCCTGATGTGGACTTGGGTTTCAAACTTTGGCCTCCAAGGTTCAAGAGAGTTGTAGGTCGGCCCAGATCAAGAAGGATAAAAGGTTCTAAAGGTGGCAAGCAAAAAAGCCAGCGCTAGTGCAAGAGGTGTGGAGGGTTTGGTCACATGATGAAGATCTATAATGAAACTGTTTATGACTCTGATGCACCACCAAAGCCCAAGAGAGCAAAGAAAAAGAAAAGCACTACCACAACAACTGTCTCTACCCAGCAATCACAGATTGAAGGTGCTCAAGAAACAACTGTCTGTCCTGCTTTGACAAACAGCCCACCAAACATTGCACCACCAGCTCTAACAAACAGCCCCGTAGCAAACACTAGGAGGTAAGTGTAAAGACTTGATGCCTGTTATCTATGACAACATACTGTTATTTATCTTTCTAATATTGGGTATGACTACAGCCGCAAGAGGGCATTGGAGCTAGGTGGTGAAACTTCCTCCCCAATAGTAGAAGTGCAGCATCAAAAGAAGAAGAAGAAAAAGGTGGTGACCACCAAGGCTACTGGAGAAGAAATGCAGGCTAGGGAAAAGGAGGCAAGCAAGGCCGGCAAGAGGATCATCAAGAAGAAGCTCATCCTGGACCTATGATGCATGTCTTATGTAATGGATCTATTTTGTGGTGAACCTGTTATGTAGTGTGATGAACCTGTTATGTAGTGAACTTATTTGGTGGTGATGATGGCCCTATGAACTTGTTATATAGTGTGCTAAACATGTTATGTAGTGTGATGAACCTGTGAACTCAGTTATGCAATCTCAATCATGAACTCAGTTGGCAGACTTTGTTGTGTGAAGTGATCAAATTAAACCTGGATGCATGTTTTTGCAACAATTTGGCACACCATTTTCTTGCCCTATCATTCATGAACTTAGATACAATTTGGCAGACCATTTTCTTGCAACATAGTTAAGATGCATCATTGATTTCAAACAAGGTACAGATAAGCTGGATACATGTTCATGACCAACAACACTAACTAGATACATGTTCATGACCATGACCAACAACACTAACTGGATACATGATAACCAGGATACATGACAACCTGCTGTTCTGCTTCATTTGACCAACAACACTAATAGAACTAACACCAAAACGAAAACCATTACACCACCAACTACAAGCAGCCGCTCTCCAATTTTATTCATGTTGGTCAACAATGTCTTGTTGCTCTCAAGTACTGACTTTAGTAGTGCCTCTGAACCTTGGAGATGAATCACTGCAGTCTCCAACAGTTTGGCAGCCATCAAATCCTTGGTAGGCCTTCTCCTTGTCATTGCCTTCCCTCATCACCTCGAGCGCCATGGCACCCTAAACTCAAACCTAACTACAAGCACGAGGAAGAACGCCTTTGGCGACCAAGTAATTGATATATTGTTCCTCAAAGTAGTACACTCCACATGCAAAGTCGGTCTGGCAAACAAGAGATGAAAAATCAAAAAAATGCGCATCTCCTCAAAACCAGATCAGAAGTCAACGACCACTTACATGCTCAAGTAGTGGACACTTGTAAAACCTCTTCCCCTTGCTGCCAGGCTTCTGCGACACGCGCCCGATGAAAACGGTTCTGCACTTGTGGCAAGGAACCAAGGGCAAGAATCCAGCTTGGTCTTTGTAGGGGTCGAGCGACGGCGAAGCTGGGTGTGGCGCACCGCACGGTGTGGAATGCGAGCTCGATGCCATCGCTCGAAGCTAGGGTTCGTCGAGATGGGGAATGAGGATGGGGAGAGAGACTGACGAGAACGAGAACGGGGGAAAGAAGAAGACGATCGGGGCCGAGCTGAGCTGGTCCAATCGGACCACCTAAATGATAGGACTCAGGCCGGCAGGGGTAAAAACGTCTCTTTACTGTGCTTTCTCTCTCTCGATTGTTGTTTTTCTTTATTTTAATGGAGGCGGTGTCCACTGGCAAACATTCACAATTTCATAATGGTACTCAGCAAAAGCAAGTGTTGGCGGTGTGTTGCAGCCAATTTGTTGTTTTCGCGATGTCCCACAGCAAAAATTGCCTTAATCTTTCACAGGATGAAAGAATTCATATGTATACTATATTGGAACTAAATTTCCAAAGGACAAATGGAGCTTAGCATGCTGCTGGACACGATAAAAGATACTGCTCCGCTTGGTTTATTCCATCATTCATGTGATGCAAAAGAATTAAGAAGCAAGGGTGAGTATGCAAATCATACTCAGCAAATGAGCTTAGAAAGATTTATAACAATTCATATGAAAATAGACATTACGGAAAAACTAAGTTTAAATGGTGCTACGTATGACTGCAAGCTTCCCAACCCGAGAGTCACAGGGGTGAAATTTCACACTTTAACTAGCTATATTGCCCGTGCATTGCTACGGGTAACAAAAAAAATTATATTAGTTATGATAAAAAAATCTATATTAACCCAATTTGTTTTTATAATAATTATGCAGCCTCTCAAAATGCTTCATTCACACATGCATGTTTCCTTGTCTCGCTCAATATCAGTAGCCGAACAATACCTTGGGGCAAAATTGACCATAGAAGATATGAGCATAACAAACTTTTATTTTTGTCATTTCTCCCTCCGAGGTCATTTGAAAAATCCAAATTTATGTACTTAGTTTTTACTATTCAACGTTTATTTTTGGGGGCCGCTCTGCATGCAATAGTTTTACACCAAAATGCATGAGAAATAAACATGAGCCATACAAACATAATTATAACCATACAAATAAATCTAATTAAACATAACCGTACGAATGAACCAAGTTATTACATGAAACATACAAATAAACCTAATTAAAACATAAACCTTACAAACTGGCTGCAACTCTAATCTGCCTCCACCTAATTAAACATAATATTACAAATAAACCTAATTAAACATAACAATACTAACCATTAATTACCATACAGTAATAACAGAGACGCCCTGCAAGCCTTGATAAACATTAATTAGGGGGCGGCGCCACAACATTCATTTGTAGTCATTCATGGTAATTAATGTCCTTGATTCTGTGACCGCAGTCATCGTATACGAAGGACAATGCCCGTATTACTGCGCTCTCTCGTGCCTCAAAACACTGAGGACATGGTCACCCATAGATGTAACCTACTGAACGACCATTGGCCCCATCAGTAAGTTTCAGGTTGTACTACCATCCTTCTATAGTGTATTGGCCGAGGTGTCCATCGTACTCCCATTCGTACCCTAGTTGCTCCATAGCTTGTTCTAAAATGGCCACCAAGCCATATGTAGCAGAGGTACAATCATGGAGCAAAATCTGCAAGTGGAGAAACCAAAAAAATCAGATAATGTTATTAGAATAATAACAACAAACAAACACGAGTCAGATATCAGTGAAGACTTTACCACATCCATTACGTTGTAGGTCGCCATTAGTTCACTTGCGCAACGGTGAGACGACCAACACACAAAGCTTGTATCTTGAAGTGCGAGTAATCATGCACCTGATAGCAAATGAGCTGAAGTGCCACTAAACAGAGCGACACGGTAGCACTGGACGCTTATCCTACTAGGCATCTGTGTCCCCTCCGCTGGATATGTTGCGTATGCATTGATGGACCCCTCGTAGGGATGTAAAAGCTGAGTTCACACGTCCATAATTGAGCATGTGTATCACATGTCATGTTCTCAATGAAGTCCGACACCATGAACAAGGTAAGTGCTAATGCTAATTGCAGCCACTCTACCGCGGAAATAAACTGCGACGTATATATGCAAGATATTATTTCAATGAATGCATACGTTATATGAAACAACACTAAAAGGTTGGAAAATATTTCATACAATAGCTGACACAAGGAAGTCTAGAATGGCAATATCTAGAGCGAATGGCTCATCTCGTCAGGGTGGAAACCTGGTTGTCGTGGTTGGGGAGGTCCATTCATCATACCTGATAAACTCTAAAAATGTGAATATAAATATAGAATATATATTAATAATGTGCCAAGTAAAATATGGCAAATAAATATAGAATACATATAGAATATGAAAAAAGACAACATATCTATACCAATAAAATATCCAAGAGCTATGACCAAAACACGTGGAGAGAAGAGTAAAAAGAGTGAGAAATGAGAGTGAAAAGTGACAAAAGAGAGTAAAAGAGCGCCGCCGAGAGCAAGAACTAGAGTTGTTGCTCCCCCAAGCAAGAAAACACGCACGCGCACAACAGGCAATACAATAATTGAAGTGGATGTGGTTCGAGGTTGGGAGACCGTGCAAGGATATATAGTAGAGTCCCGGTTGGTGGAAGCCGATTGGGACTAAAGGTCATCCTCTAGTCCAGATTGAAGCTACAAACCGGAATAAAAGGGCAACGAGACCTTTAGTCCCAGATGATAGTTTCAACTAGGAGTAAAGGGTGACCTTTAGTACATCCCGGTTTTAGCCATAGACCAGGACTAAATGTCCCTGCTGCAAAAGCTTGTTGCACTATCCGTTAGGCAGGGGATTCTAGTCCCGGTTGGTAGCTCCAACCAGGACTAATTCTCCCATTAGTCACAGGCCAAAATCTGGCCGAGACTAAACCCTAAAACCGAGAGTCCGTTCTCTACTAGTATGGGAACTGCATCTTTTTTGGTGGTGCAGATGGATTGAAGTATGATGAACTCGAATAAAGTATATGGAAGTATGGAATAAAAAGATTAAACACAAGGGAAATGGAATTAGATTCCAGAAAAAGCTGAAAATTTTCTCTCCCTAAACATATTTTGAAAACTCTCACTCATAAATACCGAATGCAACCATTGTGAATGCAACACATCAAATTATATCTTGTCAAATAAATTGGAAAATTAGGAAAACAAAATTTTATTTCACACCAATTTGTTTTCTCATTAATTAAATATCAGAATCTTTTATAAAAATTAGTAAACCATGTATTTTATTTAGTGGAAACTATCCACAACCCAAAATAGAATTCTAAGGTGTGATGATGTACAGAGAGCACTTTTGGAACAGGCTTTTGGAACAGGTTTGTGATATGATAAATATATAAATGTACATAGAACAGTTCTAAAATGGTTCATAATAGCGTGCTGTTTTTGCCTTTAGTGTTTCGTGGTGTGGTGCGAGTATATATAAATGGATGGATTGGCAGAAAGGGCAAATGTGAACCAATCTTTCTCAAAATCGATCCAATCGTGCCGAATTATATACTCATGCATATCTAATCGGTCGATCTGAAGGTGGAAGGACATGAGGAAGAATAAAGAGAAATGATAGGGTTCTTAATACAAATGTAAAAGAGAGAGAAAGTATAAAAGTAACTAAGATGATTTGTAAATAGTGAGAGATTCTTGATGTAAAATTGTTTTCTACTCCCTCTGTCCTATAATATAATACATTCTAGATTTTAAAGTTGTCATCAAATATAATATATTCTGAAGGACAAAATCCAGTTTTGCATTAAATACTTTCCATTTATTAATCAAAATTGTCTTAAAATTGTCTTAAAGTTTTTCCATCTATCATTAATCACGTTCATGATAGCGTTTGATTAGGAAATAAAATAAGAATACATGCGTCTTTTATGTTCTCTCTTAATTTATCTTAAAATTCCTAGAATGCGCTATATTTACAGGACAGAGAGAGTAGCTTTTAGGAGCGGAATATTAAAAATTGTTGAAGAAAGTAGACAAATATGTTCTGTATTTTTTCTTCAGCGCCCTTGAAAAACTTATTGATTTACTAATTGTTTTTTTTTTGTGGAAAGTATCGGAGATGCTTCAAAGGTTGTCTGGCAGGAGGAGTTGGAATAATTTGGTGAGCAAGCAGCAATGTATGGAAATAAAGAAACTTGATGTCAGATGTTGCGTGTTTTGGGGGCTAGGCCAGGGAACAAGATTCCAATCGTGCAATGCTAACCTAACCATGCTGCTATAGAAGGGAAGCCGCCATGGGAAGGGAAGGGAAGGGAAGGGAAGGGATCGGGAGCTGAGCTTGCACTTAATAATAGTATAACACGGAACACCAAAGGCAGGCACCGCAACTAACATGTCGTGCATATATCCCCATCCATCCATCCATCCATCCATCCCCAATCGGCATTCATCAGCCAATTGCCATTACTCCTGCTACACTACACCACTGATCCATATGCCTCTAGATCTCTCTGTAGTAAGTAGTACTCCGATCCAGTAACTGGAGTATAATAAGTAGTGATCGATGAGGAGCTGTTAATAGAGTGAGTACTTGTTAAATAACACTGTACATCACCGACGGACGGCCGGCCGGCACAAGGAGCTAGATCGCAAGTACCCCAGCTGGCTGAGGTTAGCATGCACCAAGGGCAGGGCACTCCTGCTCCTACCGCCGCCGCCGCCGCCTCGCCGAGCAGCCGCGCCCGCCGCATCGCCCGCCGCACCCGGGACGGCTGCGCCACAACCCTCGCCAATACCCTCTGCTCCCTCCTCCTGGGCCTCCTCCTCATCGCCGCCGTCATTGTCTTCGTTATCTGGCTCGGCCTGCGCCCGCACCGCCCGCGCTTCAACATCGCCTCCTGCTCCGTGGCCGGCGGCCTCGACCCGGACTCTAGCCCGGCCGGCGCCAGCCTCGCCTTCAACGTCACCGACCGCAACCCCAACCGCCACATTGGCATCTACTACGACGCCATGCACTCATCCGTCCACTTCTACGACGCGCTCGTCGCCTCCGGCCCGGCCTTCGCCGCCGGTTGGTACCAGCCCAACAGGACCACCACCTCAATCACGGGACTCCTCGACGTCCTCGGCCCCGCCACCACCGACGCCTCCTGGCCCTCCTTCTCCGCGGCGGTCCGGGCCGGCCGCGTGCCGCTGCGCCTGCAGCTCACCACGGCCATCCGCTTCAGGGTTGCCAACGCTTTCCACTCGGGCCGCCAGAGGATGCATGTCAGCTGCGACCTGCTCGTCGGCGCCGACGGCGAGCTGCTGCCGGACTCCGTCGGAGCCCCTTGTGACAGATACATCTGATACATATACATACAAAACATACATACATGTATCTGATCTGACTTCCTTCCTTTTCTGTTAATTTAATTTATTATTAATCGCTCCGGCGTCTCTGGCTCCCATGCATTATTATTCGTTATATAATTACGTGTGCTGGTTCTATGTTAAAAAAAAAGTGACCTGCCATCTGTCCACCCGTTTGGCCGGGCTCCTCCGGCGTCTTCCGAAGCCATTTAGAGCCGTTTCGTGCCGAATGGATAAAACAAGACGGTTTCAGCTAAAGAGTCCCTTAAATCATGCTTTCACAGAGGTTTGAGATAGGATGGAGCTAAAAATAGTATCTTTATCTGGCTTCATCTCATCCTACATGGCGTTCTGTGAGAGCATGTTTTAAAGATCTCTACATATGGAGCTATTTTGTCAAACGATTTATCAAAATGGCTCTAGCTCCACCGATAAAGTTGTCCATGAAACCAAAGCCAAAAAAAATACAGATTTCCTAGCGAATTGGAGCTGTGCCAAACGGAGCCAAAACTTTTTGTCGGTTAAGAATTTGACTTGACCATATGAGGCTACGGGCGAAGACCATATACAAGTAGTATGGCCATATACAAGCAGTATGGATTTCAGCAATTTAAATAGGAAAACCCCACAAAAATTAAGGCTCTGCTTGCTTCTGATTCTAGTAGCTGCGGCTGCATATCATAGTTGCAGCTTGTACTGTAGCGGTGAGATGCAGCGGCGGCCACAAAAATCACACAACCGAGCCCGCATGCATCCATAAATTTTGAACATCATTCAATCAAAACTTAAAAAAAACATATACTCCATTCATTGACCACACCATCGCTAATTAATGACTTGTAAAAATGACTGCACCTTTCTTGATAAGATATGATGCACATAGGAGTATCAGAGCATGTAGATCATCAAACAAATTTATAAGAATAATTTGCTTAGTGGGCCAAACAAAAATCCATTGCAGAAGTTTAAGTGAAACATATTTCAGAATATATATATATACCACAAGCATTGTGAAGACATATCCAAGCAATGCCATCAACAGAGCCGCAAATCAAATCGACATAATGCAGCATTAGCAGGCATGATCAAATTAATTTCAATGATAAGTAATTAGGAAATAAGTAGCATTCAATAATACAAAAGATCACTATGGAAATGACAGAGCCCACTACAATACTTGAGAGCACAAGGCATGTCCTGGCAAACATTCAACCAGGGACCGACGCCAACATCAAATATACTTTGTATATGAAACTGGAAAAGAAAAATTAAGGGCAAAACTAAGCAAATCTCATTTTTATGCGATGGGAGAAATTAGCATCTTCTTGTACATACCAGAACAAGAGCATAGAAGGAAACTACAAGCGTTCACTAAACATATGTGTCGGTGTTTGGAGACCGGCAGGCCATCACGGGGTTACCCGGGACGATGTTTAGGGCTTCGGCGTATGCAGGACTCGATGGTAAACGCAGAGAACGATTTATACTGGTTTGGTCCACCGGATTAGCGTCCCTACGTCAAGTCTGGTGGATAGTATGTTGCGCCCTACGCTTGGGGTTTAGACCGTGAGGTCTGTTTAGGGTGCTGATCTAGGGAGCTCTGTCCTCCTTTATATAGTCCAGGAGGCAAGAGTTCTAGTCGGTTACAATGTAGAAATCCTAGTAGGATTACAGAATAGCACTGCTACTAGGAGTACATGTGGGGAATACTAGTCAGACTAGATCTTCTCCCTTTCTTGTGGGGAACCCTGGGTACTATGTATCGACAAGCCCCCGAGCACTGTATGGTTGAACTTAGGACACCTCTTCTTGTTCCTCTAGGTCTTGCTGAGTAGAAACAAGTGTCGTCCGAGTGCTTTCTTGAGAGAAACCATGTAGCGCTTCTTGAGATCTTCGAGTGGTGTGCACTTTCCGAAAAAGTGCACTCACTGAGTGTAGCCCCCGAGCCTCTTGCTGTTTGGAACAAAAAGTTGGAGGGTCTTGCCTTCAATTCCTTGTCGAAGAAATTTGAAAGCATCCGCTGAGGATATATGTCCCGCAGCCCCCGAGCCTACAATCCGACTACACGGAGTCGATTTTAGGATCTTGTAGACATCATCAAGGGTGCAACTGAGTTGTTGAATGCTTGTAGTCGTTCGTGTCATGATCGACTTAGGACGAGTCGAATTTGGGTGATCGTGTCCTGATTGACTTAGGACGAGTCGAATTTGGGTCTTCAATCCTTGAATACCGACTAAGCCGAGGCAATGGCCGAACCCCCGAGTTTAGTGCCAACTAAGTCGTGGAGGCGGAGAAGCCCGATCGGAGTAGCGGAAGTAGCCAATGCGGTGGCCGAGTAAGGCAGCTCTCAGGAGTGTACCCTACCTAGCGGCATATCTAGATGTAGTCCCCTGCAAGGTAAACATAAAAATATGTTGTAATTGACATTCCGGATATCAAGTCGGGAGCAGGTCCCATGTATGTAAAATAATCGATCGGGAGCGGATCCTGGCATTATGAAATGCATATAAACTTTTCGCGTCTTGCTCTTGCTAGGCTGTGTAAATTCCCGAGTAGTTGACACCGTATTTATAAGCACTTGAATCTCTGGCGTATGGTTGATTGACTTAACCATGTGAGCCATGCGAGTAGACAAGCGTCACAAATGTACGATGGGATGGTATACTATTACTAAAGTATTTTTACAACCCTTAAGAGAAGACTAGAGCAGTCGGGCTGCACGAAAGAAAGAGAATGCGCGCGGAGCACATGTTATACACCCGTTGGTGGGAACCCAATTCGTTCTCCAATGCCAACCCACACAATAGGAAAATATGTTTGAGAAAACCTAGTGTCCTAAGTAGCTGCATCCGTACAGACCAATCGGTCGTCTAATTCGCAATAACACCGGAATGGTGGGAACCCAATTCATTCTCCAATGCCAACCCACACAATAGGAAAATGACAACGGTAATAGTCACAACTCTAGTTGTGAAAGTACCATACAAATATCAATGGTCGGGAATAATTCTTCATTCACTGAATGGTTTTTTTGAGGGATCTCTTATTGATTATTGTTGTTGTTTAAAAACTAACTAAAATATAACAATAAGAGTCAAGTCTCATACTGCCATTCTTTAGAAAATTTGTTCTGACTTTGCATTGCCCTGAAAGACTATATTTCTACTTACTAGAATGATATGAGAAGAGACCGAGGTTCATGACAACTATTGATGGCATAATTGCCAAGCCCATTGTGATTGTGAAGAAATTACGTATGTACTGCAGATTGATGTTGGTAGAAGCTAAATCTACTAAGGGGTAATGTTGATGATAAGTTGTCTCCTAGCAGCGTGATGCGTGATGTACTCTGCACAACTTGCCCTGAAAATATAAGAAACTTTTATTTATGGTTCAACAATCTAAGGCATACTAACCATACACAATAAGTTTCAAAATCTTAAGACTAACTACATAAAGCTTCAGGTAAAGAACAACCTGCAAAAGAGATGTGTTCAATAAGATAATTGTTAGAGCTGCCCCGTTTCATGTGGAGGGACAACCCAACAAACTTCCCCTCCCGACATCAAGGAGGGTCTCTTTGCCTGCTTCCAGCAGTCATGCCAGCGAGCAGACAACAAACCTCAAGCTTTTCTCTTGTCGTCACCTTAGTCTACATATCTGCCCCGTTGTCATCGGTGTAGATTTTCTCAAGCTGCATTTGCTTAGAATTCAACACATCACAAATCCAATGATAGAGAACATCAATATGTTTTGACCTCGAGTGAAAACTTGCATTCTTACTCAAGTGAATAGCACTTTGGTTGTCACAAAACAAAACATACTTGTCTTGATCAAACCCAAGTTCACTAACAAACTTTTTCAGCCATAATAGCTCTTTGTTTGCCTCTGTCGCTGCAATGAATTCAGCTTCTGATGTGAACAATGAAACACATTTCTGCAACTTGCTTTGCCATAACGTAGCTCCCCTTTCATAGGTGATCAAATACCTCGAAGTAGATTTACTACTATCAACATCTCTGGCCATATCTGCATCTATGTATGCAACAAACACAAGATCACCTTTTCCAAAACAAAGTTTTAGATTAGTGCATTGATGGCAAGATCATGTGAATATTGTAGAAATCTAATAACATGATGCATCGCGCTAGTAGCAGCATCATACTTGTCATGTACAATTTTGCCGTGACTAACATGTGCGCGCTAAATATCTGGTTCATACTCTCTACACAGTCCAAGGTAGCCACCATAAATATAATCATCAATCTTGACCATGGATGGATGATACCCTACTTTGGACGCAACTGCATCTAAACAACTCTAAGCCCGCTGTTAATTTTCAAAGCACCCACCTAATATAAATAAATTATCATTTATTTGTTACGACCTCTTTGGATTAAATCTAGTTCATTTAGATGATCATAAAATCCAAATATCTAGATCACGTGGCCTGCCATGCACTACTAAAGAATAGCTATTCTCCGCCGCCTCCTTCACCAACGGTTCTGTGATAACCGGCGGTGATCCCGGCTCATGACCCCTGGGGCCCCTCTCAGCTGAATAACCGGCGGTGATGAGGGCTTTCACCGCCGGTCCGGCGTACGATCCGGCGGTGATCGGAGCCTCTACCTTCACCGCCGTATCATGCGCCGAGCTGGCGGTACAAGGGTTTTCACCACCGGCTGTTTCTCCTATGCCCGACGCCGGAGACACCGTCAGAGATAATAGGGTTTTTACTGTCCGTGCCAAGATTGATGGGCCCCTCACCATAAGATCCGACAGTGACGCTTATGTAACACCGTCGGTGCATCGTATGGTCCGGCGGTAGAAATCGCAATAATTGAGACATCTTCCCGCCCTTTTCATGCCGGCGGTGATAAAAAAGCTTTACCACCAGCTCGTTCTAGCACTGAATAACATAATGTATGAGCCAGCGGAAAAACTTGCAATCATCGTCGGCTGTCTAATTAAATCGGTGGTGATAAAGGGCTGTCCAA